CAGGAAAGGAGACCCCCTCGCTTGGTGTCCACAGTTTGTCTGGGGGGCGCTTGGGGGGCAGAGGGGAGCCAGGGGGCGGCCCCTCGGGGCTCGGGGACCTGCGTCAGCCCTCAAGCAGCCCGAAGGGCTCCGAGCCAGGGGAGAGAGCCTCGGCGCAGCAGCAGGGATGCCCCCCGCAGCCCGAGGGTGGGCCTCGCCAGGCAGTGCCCAGTGCTGAGGGGTGCCAGCGCTCGGCCAGGACTGCGCAGAGCCCGCTGCGGCCGGGCGCAGGGGCGCTTACTTTCTGCTCTCGTGGCCGAGCGTTGAGTCAGAGCGGGTTGGAATGCGAGAAACGAAAGCAGTTGCTGGCAGATTGAGTGAGAACCTGGAAAAGGGAAGTTGGTGTTTGAAGCCTAAGAGTAGTGGGCAGCGTGGCCTGCGCCCCCTGGCCATCGAGCCCCGGGTCCTGCTGTCACGGAGCCCCCCGGGGCAGGCGCCAGGGCAGCTTCGCCTGTACTCAGGCAGCTCCTGGGTTTTCCTTTCTCCCAAAATGGTCAGACCTGCAGAGGGAGCTTCCCGCGGCGCGTGGACACCCGTGGCTGCAGCCTTGGCATCGCCCGTCTTTGCTTCCAGCGTGGAGCGCGGCTGGGTGAACGGGGTGGTGGTGGGGGGGCTCGGTAACTTCTTGGACAGTCTAAATATTTGGCTGTTCCCTGGACTACAGTCCTTGGGCTTTTCTAATCAGAAACTAAAAGCCAGACCCTTCATTGTAGCAGGATCTGCTCTTGCTTCCTGCTGATAAGCCCCTCAGGCGTGCTGGCCGGGCGGCCGCGCGAGACCCAGATCCTCCTCAGGGTTCTGGAGGCTGCGTGGGCGCTTGCGAGGCCGGGTCGGGGGCCGGCTTCACAGTGAGCCGCTGGCTCAGCGGCTTCTCCGGGCAGCTGCTGAAAGATACCAGGACCCAGTCGGTGCAGCGGCAGAGCGGGCTCAGCGCATCACGGCCGCCGCCGGGCGCGGGGCGCGGGGCGTGGCTCACGCGTGGCCTCGCGCGGCCCTGAGCAGTGGGGCTGCACTCTGGCCCCCTGTCCCACGGATGCTGTGAGCTCGGGGGTCGGCGGCCGGCGTGGGCCGGCGAGAAGCCTGTGGCTGCGGACGAAGGGCCTCGGCGTCTGGCCCCGCGCGGTGAGCGCCAACGACTTCCCCGATGTGAGAGGGAAACTCGGCTGCGGGGGGGCGGGGGCAGCCGTGTCTCAGGCGGGCTGGGTGGGCAGTGTCGGCAGCGGAGCGAGACTGCCCACGGCCGTATGAGGCTCGCTGAACCCGCCACGTCCCGAGCGCTGCGCAGCGGCTGCCCGGAGCCCGCGGGCGGCCACGGGGGTCGGGAGCCGCCCCTCGGGGGACCCCAGCGTTGGAAGGCGGCGGCCGCTGCGGCTGCGGGCTATGCCGCGCACTCTCACACACCCTGCGGCTGACGTCGCGCGGCTGGCTCACGCGTGCGTGGGAGCGGGGGGCGCGTCGACGGCACACCCCGCTTTCCGGGCTCCCCACTCGTCCCCTCGGACCTGGCAAGCTGCGTGCGCTCGAGCCCCTGACTGCCCCCTGCAGGGAATTTGCAGGCGTCTCCCGAGTGCGCGGGAGATGGTTGCTCAGAGGGGGAGAACGGGCGGACTCGGCAGCGCCCCTTTCCTCACAGGTGATCGCAGCGGGGGTGGGGGCGTGGGGGGGCAGAGGCCGGATGCGGCGGCCCCCGCCCGCCTCCCAGCGCAAGGTTTACGGGGCCTCCTGGGAGCCCCGTCTGACGCTCCCAGGCAGCGCTGAGGAAACGGCACATCCAAGCAGCAAACACAAGAGTGAACAACAGGCGCAGAGACAACAACAGGAAAGTGGGGCAGGAGCTGGGTTTCTGGGTCGAGCTGTCCTCGGGGGCGTCTCCTACGGCGCCACGCTGAGGCCGGCGTCCCGTCTCCCCTGCCGCCGGCGGAATCTTGGGGGTGAAGCCCAGCCCGGCGCCCCGGGGCCCGGAGTGAGCGCGGGCCCTGCTTTGGTTCGCTTTTGCCGTCGTAAGCGCTCGGCGGCTCCTCCGGTGCTGTCCACGTGGACTGGCGAGGCGGCGCCAGTGCCTTCGCGACGCCCCCATCGGCACCCTGCCCGCGCCTGCGCAGTCGGGACGAGCCCGCTGCAGACCCGCGTGTTGAGCCTCGGCCGCTTGCCCGGGCGATGGCGCTGTTCCGGAGTCCCGGTGCCTGTGGCGAGGGCTCACGGTTGATGTCAGCCTTGAGCACAGTGGGTGCCCGCTGCGTGCCAGTCAGCCTTCAGCACAGTGGGTGCCCGCTGCGTGCCAGGGTGCTGGGGCCGTGACGGCCCCCTGAGAAAGAATCGTAGCCCCAGCGCGTGGGGGAGGCAGGCGCTGTAAGCCAGCAGGCAGCGTACCCGGCGGCAGCAGGGGCCTGGAGGAGAGGCAGAGGAAGGGGAGCAGAAGTAGCGAGGACCCGCGGGGCGTGGAGGAAGGGACCCCGTGGGTGCCGCAGCCGGGGATGCAGATCTACTCGGCGCTGTGGAAGGCAGTCGGCTGCTTCCTCAGAAGACAGACGTAGGGCCGCCACGTAACCCGCCGTGGCCTCACTCAGGAGGCGGGAATTACCCCAGGTTGTGTCTGGCGAATGAGTGGATCGACAGCACGTGGTCTAAGCCTGCGATGGAATATTACTCGGCCTTGAAAAAGTGAAATTCTGCTAGGTGCTACCATGTAGACGCCGCTTGAAAACTTCCTAAGTGCAGACACAGGTGAACAGAGTGTGGCCCCACGGATGCCAGGCAGGGAGAGCCAGAGGTTCACAGGCCAGAGGGGGGGCCGGGGGAGGGGAGCATGGGGTGCTCGTTACTGGGAGAGTCCTGGAGGCGGAGGGCAGTGATGGCTGCGTGACAGTCAGGCCACGGGGGCGCTGCAGTGGTGCATTTGAGGCTGTGCGTGGTGTACGTGAGTTTACCGTAATGGGAGGGGCCAGGGCAGCCACTGCTAGAGACCAGGGATGGGGCAGAGGCGCTGGAGGGGGCTCGGGGGCTGGGGGCGGGCGCTTCGGCCTGGGGTGCTCGGGCAGGGATCTGAGGGACAGAGCTGGTGCGACGGTGGCGGCAGGGAGCAGGGTCTGAGGCCTGGGCAGCGTGCTCAGAAGCGGGAGGGACGGAGGGCAGGGCGGGGCCGCAGCCGAGGGAGGCGACAGGTCCAGCTGGGGGAGAGCGGCAGAGCGTGCGGGGCCAGGTGTTGGCCGGTGAGCAGGGCGCACTTCGCCGAGGATTGCAAGCCCTCCGCTTTCGGGGCGGCTCTGCACCTCTGAGCACCGTCCTTCCTGAGGAGCGAGCCCGGGGAGGCTGCGGCGCGCACATGCCAGGTGGGCGCTCGGCGGGCCAGACTCGGCTTCTGGACTGGCTGGTGAGTCACCTGGCTCGCCTGGTGCAGCTGGGCTCGGCAGCCGAGAAATCTGCCACACCTGCTGGCTGCCGCAGATGCCGCTGCGTTCCCCGACCGGGCCCTGTGCCCCCGCCTGTCCGGCCCCTCTCGCTCCCCGCGGGTCTCGCCTGTGCCCCCGCCTGTCCGGCCCCTCTCGTTCCCCGCGGGTCTCGCCGACCGGGGCCCTGTGCCCCCGCCTGTCCGGCCCCTTTGGGAGGAGCTGCAGAGGCGGGGCCCGTGGCGGGCCCTGGGGGCTCTGCCGTGTGCTCCTCCCCGGGGTGAAGTCCGGAGCAGGGTGGGACGCGCGTGGGCGCTCCCTGCCCGAGGGGTGCGTGTTCATTGCGGCGAAAGCGGGGGACGAAGAAGCCGCGTAGCCTCCCTCACCCCAGGCCCCGCGATTCCAGGTTTGCTTCCGTACGTACAGCGAAAGGTGGGTGTGTTCGGGGTTCGCCCCGCCCCGGGCCCTCGGCTTTTTCCCCGCGGCCGAGCACGTGTTCCGGGC